GCTTTTAGAGATACTAGATATAAAGTTGATGCATTGTCTCCACAGTCAGATATTTTTTTGATCTGTGTATTTTCTTAAGGCTGAAAAAAGTGAATAAATTTATAGATGTGTGCATGAGTGCATGTGTATCTCTGAGAAAGTAACTGTATGAGAAATAATATTAAATTTATTATGCCTAGTTTGAGCCCTCTTAATTTCCACAAAAATAGCAAGCACTACATTTATTTAAAAATAAATGTTAATGTTTGAGTTATGTTTAAACCATATTAGCACCATAAGTATCTTTTAAGGGGGAAAAAGTGATTATTTCTTCAAACATTGGCTTTTCAAATCTGCTTAATATTCAGTTATGTAGTCTATTTATTGCTTTTCATTTACAACTTCCAAGTAAACTTGAAAGTTAGAGGAAAATATAGATTATTGCTACCTTTGTTATTGTAAGAAGTAATTAATCTAATTTGTAAGCAATTTCTTCTGAGATGTCTTGGTATTCATTGAAGACCAGCGAAAAAAGCTTTGTCCTCACATTTTGCACTGTATGATGTGCAAGAGAATGTTCTGCTGAGCCACAAAACAGAATGTAGGTATCACATTATTATAGGCTTAGTATAAAACATCATAAACAGCTCCCAATTGCGTAACCCAGTCTCTGCTCACATAGCTGAAATTACTCTTGCCATCTTTCCCTTGACATACGATGAAGAATATGAAAAGCTGCTCTTTTTTCTTGCCTTCTAAAGCATCTGTATCCTGCTGCACAGCCCTTCCTGAAACTAGTTACAGTTGCTGTTTTATACCTTCTTGCAGTCTGGTCATTTGCTTCAAACAGAAAGTTATAAAACAAAAATGTAACCAGGAGACTGTTAACATATTATGATAATGGTCTTAAATTTGGTTTAGGGAGTGTATAGTCTTTTGTGGCTGATGGTTTGTAGGTACTAAGGGAGAGATCAGAGTAAATATTCTTGTGGGCTTCCTGACTTAACATCTGTTATGTAGTTACTTCAGGCTTCAGGAAAGTAGGCTCAGAGATCTAGCAGTCCTTTAGTTCATTAACGTGCATTAATGTATAGCATGATTTTGGCAGTGTTACAGTACTCAAACAGCTTAATCTTCCTTCTGCTAGAAAGAAAAAATATGCAAGGAATATAGATACATGCTGGCATGTGAGCATTGCATAAATAATTGTAGAAGCTGTTAGATGTGAAATGAAATTTGTGAATAGCTATAAAGCATATGATGGCAAGCAAACAGCTGGAATTCATGTAGATTTGTATATGTTAAAGTACAAACATGCATTATTTTATAAGACTTCAAAACCAAGCAGATACACAGATCTCACAGGAATATATTTAACCTACTCGTCAGATTGGAAGGGTTCCTAGATAATTTAGGGAGTAAATTTAAACTAATTTCATGGTTTATAGAACAATTAATATTTCCCACATACATAAATTTTAAATCAAAATATTGGAATATACTGAAAGAAAACACCAGATAAAATGAAGCAGTGGTGGTAAATACACATCATTAATTTAAGGAATACATCTCAAACGGAGTATTAGGTTTAAAGGAATTTTAGTTTCATAATACATTCTAGATTTAGGTCATTTGTAAGTACAGAGCTCAGACCTATCAGACAGATTTATCTTTCCTCTGGTGTCTTCATCTATTGCCTACCTAAACTGATACATCCATATTTGACCTCAGCTAACAGATCTTGTAGGTGAGACTAATATTACATACATTGATCTGAAAAGCTGTAACTTACAGTCCTGGCCTAACTGCCGCTGTTTATATCTGCAGAGATGCAGTTTTCTTGTTCCTGATAAGAAACTACAAAATTATTTCCCTCAAAGGAGAGGTAAACTTGCCATGTCTGGGCAATCCCCCAAAAATACAACCAACCAAACACTAAAAACAAACCTCTTCCCCAAACCCCTAAACAAGCAAACAAGAATCTGGCTTGTTTTCCTGTCCTACAGAAGAAGGAAGGAAGGATTGATGGGACAGTATTAAAGGATATTAATATTATAGTGAGTACTCTTTTGGGGTGAATATTACAGAAGAGCTCATCTTTGTCCTTGATTATAGTTGGAAAACTTTGTCAGTGCTGTGTAATGCTGAATGCTGTCTTTTTTATCCATAATTTTGTTTAAAACATTAACAATATAGCAATACTACACAACAGTCTTTTTTTTTTTTTTTTTTTTTGTGCCATTCTTCTCTTTCCAGCACTTGGTACTCTGCTATGTGTGGTTTTACTTCATCTTTTTCATTTGATCTCACACCCATTCTTCTGGCTTTTCATGCTGCCTTTGTTTAATGAGAAAAGAAAAAAACAGATTGCTAACAGGTCTAGCTACATCATAACTGAAATATTTATGTAAGGGTACAATTCAGGGTGCTGCCTGTAATGAATAAATCTGTAGATAGTATAGTCAAATATTTCCCTGCTATGATACCTCTTTCATACATTTTTTTCCTAAGGATCAGCAAAGGAACATTTTAAGTAAAATTACATCAAGGCAACATTTATTACAGCAGTAATTTGGGGAGAAGGTCTGAATGTTTACAAATACTAAACAAATTTTTCATTTACATTTTTGTAAATACTTCCATCTCATCACAGGAAAAAAACTTGAAATTTTAAAATTCATTCTTTTGCTATCTTTGAAGTGAAATACTATTATCGTGTTTAGCAATGCTAAGAATTAAAACTTTTTTTTTTTTTTTTTCCCCAGAAAATTTCCTTGGATTTATTTTCAAAAATATGAGTATTACTTGATATTGGGATGAAACTTTTTGCTTTGAATTAAACAAAGAGTTCGAGTTAAAAGGGTTTTTTTTCATCCAGAGAAAATATTTGTATTGTTCACATATTTTAAAAGGGCTTGCTTTCTAATTCAAACATGAGCCAAACTACTGATTGTCCAAACATAGCTCTGTAAATAAAAAAAAAATGTGATTGAAGTTATGCTTCAGCATAGTTATGAGAGCACAAGTTTATTAAGACAGGAGAAGTAAGCATGATATATTTGGGAAGTGCAATTTTCTGTCCTTCATGTTTCACTGCTTTCTCCATATGGCCTCAGTGGAGAAAGCCCACCTCATCACTATTCTGCACAGTGGCTCCCCCAAATGGAAATAAAGAAGTGTTAGGTAACTCATAATACAAGCTGACAGTGGAATGTTTATTGCTTCGTATCTGATTTAAGGTATTTTAATAAATCTCTTTTTTTTTAATAAAAATCTGTTTGGTGGGGCATTCCATGATGTGGATGTTGAAGTCTGTTGGTTTCAATATACAGTTATTCTTAAGCTGCAGTTCAGTGAGCAGCAGAGCCTGATCTCCTATGCTTATGTGTCCGTAAGATGAGCCCTAATGCCTTCAGCCTGAGCATCCTTCACCTTCTCAGTAAAATAGCCACATTGTTTATCCTCTATGCCCCCACCTACCTTGAATGTTACAGCTGCCTGGGCAAGCAGATGGATTGCTCTTACTGGTGAAAAGCTGAGTGTATTGGCCAGTGCCTGTGCTGCCTGGACAGGGAGCCTGTAAGAGCTTCCCTATACTCCTTGGGACCTAAGCTGTTTAATGAATGCACTAACCATAAGATCTAAACATCACTCACATCTTTGCTTTTCAGTCAAGTTAATTTCAAACTGACCTTTGGATTCACAAGCTATTAGAAAAGACAGACAGGCACAAGGCAACACTACTGTCGAAGCTTATTTCTGTAAGGAAGTAAGCTAAAAGTTGATCATTTGTCATATGCTTAAATTTTTTGTTGTTGATATGCGAGTAGTAATTAACATTTGCAGTACAACCATAAGAATACTTTAATACATTTAAAGTAATTGAAACAGTGGAGTCTAAAATAGCACATACCTATTAAAATACACCTTTAAATTTGGTTGGATTTGTGTTTTTCATGTCATGGGGTTTCTGGCATTTATTTCTTTAGATATTTATAAAAAGAGAGACTTAAAACTGTTACCAGTCTGCGAATGATTTGCAATGAAATCAGATGCAGAGCTTGACATACGACTTTATGCCAGGTTCCTGCTTTATCTTGAGTTTGAAATTTATTACTTTTTATTATGGATTTTTAAATTTTTGAATTGGGTAAGTTTAGTTATTGCAAAAATAAGACCATTTGTAATGGTTTGGGCTAAATATAGTGCAGTCAGATGGTATGCAGGTTTACTTAAAGAGCTTTGACAACCTCTTAATCTTGATATGTGGCACGCCATCTATTCTAGTCACAGGCATTTAAAAAACATATAATGCATGTCATGCTAAATTGCACACTAGCTATTTGTTTAGTATGGACTTAATTACACCATAAACTGAATCGCAGTTGAAACTGAAAAATGGACCTGTAGCAATATTTTCAAAGTTTATAGATCTTTACGCTAAACCACATCTTAGATTTTCCCAGACAACCTATAGTCATCTTACTGCCCATTAACCCTTCTATCTGAATGAGATAAGGGAAAATGAGCCTCAGGGGCCACAGATTAACATTATTATTTGACAATATTTTTAAGTCTATGTGTAGTTTTAGGTAGGGGTCCAGGACATGCAACAGTATTAAGGTCATTTATTAGTTTTCTTGCCTGGAGATTCCTCCTGTTCTGTGGAGTTTTGATATCTGTCTCATACTTTAAATTCTTCAGTCCTTGCACTTTCAAAACTTCCATTGATCAATCTCAGTATTGATTGCTCGTGAACTGTAACAATCCCTCTTGCTTGTCTGATGTCTTTAATCTTTTTATCCATCTCCATGACTAATCAATATTTATATTGTCAAGGAGGCAATATATCCACATCCAGGCTCACATGTTTGCAAACTCACAGAGTGTGTTTGTAAGGCAAATCGGTATAGAAACAGCTAAACATTTTCTGGGATGGAAGAGGAAAGCATTCCAACATATCCTAAATACAGACATGTATGATGAAGTTACCTGTTAATGTATTTTCTTTCTACCAACAGGTCCCATAAGCAGCATTTTGGTGAATAAGTATGGTAGCCGGCCTGTGATGATAGCAGGAGGTATCCTGTGTTCATTTGGAATGATTGCTTCCTCTTTCTGCAATAGTGTCCTGGAACTTTATCTATGTATTGGTGTTGTTGGAGGTAAGAGTGCTGTTTAAAAGATAATGTAATATAATGCAATATAATATAATCTTTAATTTCTAATTTCTATTATTTATATTATATTGTTTCTAATACTGTTCTATGAATGAGCCTTACTGCTCAAGAACCCACTGTGCAAGGCATTGTACAAATGAAGACCAAGAAGGTAGCAAGATCAGTTCATTTCAGCTACCTAAACTGCCTAATCCTTTAAATTAGCTGGTATTAAATTATTTCTCAGGATATTCTCAGGATATTTCAGGAACAACTGATGATTTTATTCAATAAATGCCGTATGTATGTACTGTTCCACACTGCACTGTAATTATAGTATAAAAATTGACTGGCTCATGACAGCACTTATTACAGTCATTTGTGTAGAATTTCACATTCATTCTTTTAGCTTTCAGTCATGTTGCACTTCAAATGGGGTGGCAGAGACTATCAGAATTCTAGTGAAAATGCGAAAGCTAGTACCGGCTTTCTGTAGGTTTGTACATACATATAATCTCACAAAAATGTATAAGAGCTTTCAGTTCAAAAGCTTTCTGTTTAAAATCCCCCAGGGTCAATCCTCAAATAAAATTATTCATATATCATCAAAGGCCTGGATATTGCCTAAGGCAATGAACTAAAGTTATCATAAACCAGTAAATTAAATAACCTTCTTATCAAATGTTGTGGGGTTTTTTTAAAACTACCTCCTCAGACTAAGGAAGGAAAGCAAGGCGAAATATTGGCAGGTAATAAATGAATGAGATAATATTTGTTCCTGTTTGCAAGCTCATCTTTATTTGGGACTAAAGGAGACCTTCTTTGTTCAGTGATTATTTCTTAAAGCTCTTATTTTTTACATTTAAACTTTGGGCCCACTGACAGAATACAGTCAGGGTGCAGCAATAGGACTATCAGAGAAGAAAACCTCTCTTCTATGCCATCCAGCATATGCATAGCTACGTAGTCCTTATTGCCTAGATGTCTTAATATAGAGAGAAAGCCTAGAAGTATATTCAGCCTGAGTGTATAAGTTGAATACACTCAGCTGATGCGGATGGGTGGTCTGCTCCCATGCATGTTTTCTACAACTCTTCCACCTTCAGTAGTGACTTCCATACGTGGGGAAGTAGAGCTGAATTTGCTCCAAAATAATTATCCATTTTAAGCTCCACTTTTCTGTACAAGTTTGATCTTAAATAGGGCTGGAAATAAGGAGATTTATGCATTTAAATACACCCTGCATTCATTGTAGCTGAGGTGACATTTAATAACTTTTGTGAAATGAGGCAAAAGAGAATTGCATTATAGCTTAGTAAATATAAAAATGGTGAGTCAACATAGCGATAGCATCATTCCTCTGTGATTCCCCTGTCTCTGTCATTGCTGAAACACAACAAAGAATTTTGCCTTTTATTGCAGTGCTACAGGAGGAAATGGTAGAATACCACCATGATACAGTCTTGGCATTAACACACATAGACAGCAATGAAGCTGTATTTCATTCTCTGGTGTTGTTGGTTTCTATCTTCACTGGGAATCACTGGATTAGATACTGGTCATATCAAAAATAAATTGAAAGAGGTGTGATATGTTTTTCTGTGCATGACCCACAATAATACTGTCCTTTATGTGTTGTTTAGGTATGGGTCTAGCATTCAACTTACAGCCTGCCTTGACCATGATTGGCAAGTATTTCTATAAGAAGCGTCCGATTGCTAATGGATTGGCCATGGCTGGAAGTCCAGTGTTTCTGAGCACATTGGCACCTCTCAATCAATTCCTCTTTAATGCCTTTGGCTGGAAAGGAAGCTTTCTCATTCTGGGAGGACTTCTTTTGAACTGCTGTGTGGCTGGGTCACTTATGAGACCTGTTGGACCGAAAACAGTCCCTCCTGTGAAAAAAGATGTTGAAAAAGGCACAGGAGACTCTACCTTGCACAAAAACAACAAGAAGTCTTTTTGGCAAACTATGAATAAATATCTAGATCTGTCCCTCTTCAAACACAGAGGGTTTCTGATATATTTGTCAGGAAATGTCATTATGTTTATTGGTTTCTTTGCTCCAATAGTATTCTTGGCTCCTTATGCCAAGCACAAGGGAATTGATGAATATTCTGCTGCTTTTTTGCTATCTATCTTAGCCTTTGTAGACATGTTTGCTAGGCCTTCAATGGGACTTGTAGCAAACTCCAAGTTTATTCGGCCAAAGATTCAGTACTTCTTTAGTTTTGCTGTCTTGTACAATGGCGTCTGTCATATCTTGTGCCCTCTGGCAACAAATTACACTGGCTTAGTGATATATGCTGTATTTTTTGGGTTTGCATTTGGAATGGTTAGCAGTGTTCTTTTTGAGACATTGATGGACCTTGTTGGGGCTGCCAGATTTTCCAGTGCGGTTGGACTTGTCACCATCGTGGAATGTTGCCCTGTGCTCATAGGCCCTCCTTTAGGAGGTAAGAATCTCTTCTATTCAATTTTTTCAGACATTACAGCATAATCTTGCAATTTAGCCTTGAATTAATACAAACATTCTTCTTAATGTTATTTACTGTTTTTGCTGTGACCAGGAATGTACTGTAACAGCAGAGCACTGCATCAATTACCTTTGGGCTTTACAGATGCAGATCCATATGAGAATCTAAAGGCATATATTGCATGCATGTGCAATAGATAGATTAAGAGCATATCTTTACTGGCCCATAAATCCACGTGATAAATGTATGTTTTCCTGATAGTACATAGTGGTAACTTTGCAACCTTCATTTATGTGTATTCAGATCCAATGTGCTCTTTGCCAACTGAGTTCTTACTCTCTTGAATTGTTCAAATCCACTGGTCAGTTTTGTGAAGATCTCACAGAGTGGCTTATAGTTTCTCTAACCTAGTGGCAGCTAGAGGAGCACATGCTTAAATTTAAAATAGCAAGCTTAGTTTGTCTAAACGGAGGGGATTGATATTTCTAGAGAGAAGAAACCATCAAGGAGGTGCCAGAAAGGACAGGGCTCGGCAGCCCAGGCAGGGTGTGTGTATGGTGGGATTCAAGAACGGTGCTGTGGAGGATTGTTCCCTGGCATGATTTCACACCACAGCCCTGCTTGCAGCCAGTCAGTCCTTCAGCCTGTTTCTGTAGCCAATATATGTGTAAGGCAATTCAGAGTGAGAACCAACTGAAAGATGTTAATGTTGCCAACTTCCCCCTTTTGAGTGTAGGGAGCGTAAAGGGAGCCTAGATGTATAGCTTGGACTACATTCATAACTTTCGTGCTTCTAGCACCAAAAATTATGAAGAGTCTTATCCAAAGGATTTTGTTTGCTAGCTTTTTAGTCAGTATTTAGTAATGCTGTTAGTATATTTTATAATCTTACGATTTCTGATAGGACACTAAAGAATAAGATGTTCAAACTTTATTGAAAAGTATTGGTTAAATGTATGTGTGTGTGTGTGTTGAAGTGTAAGCCCAACAATATGAAAATATAAAGATAGTGACATTACTAGCCTTGTGAACATACACTATACCCACATAAACAGTGCCACAGAAGTCAGCAAGATTACGTGTACCTAAAATCATTTATACATATCAAAGTATTTTAAGGATTTCTATGAAAATAGCATTGTTGTGTGAAATTTTAAATATGTCAAAACAATTCCACTCACTTCAGTACAATAATATTTGTACAAGTAAATGATTAATGGTCCTCAAGATGGTCCATATTTCCCTCATCTTTTAACATACAAATTCATTTTGGTAATGGTAGAACAAAATATGTTCTTCTCACACAGACTCTCCCTGTGCCACCTAGTGGGGACTGAGCCTTTGACCGCTGGTGTCCAGCCTTTTCAGTCAGGTTCTGAAATCAACATCAATATTAAATCTAGAGATATTAAATCTAATATTTATGGAGCAATAGCTTATGCAACTATTTATTTTTTTGGTATATTAGCTTTGCAGGAATTTTGAAAAGCATGTGTTTGTACTATAACTGTATGAATAATTGATTTATCTTGTTACATAGAGACAACAAAGGGGATGAACACATGGAAAAGATAAATTCCAGTTTTGACTAGTTCATATCCTTTAAAATATTGTGCTGAAACAATGTTAATGCATAATTTCATTTTTAATCATCCATTTTATGAGAATGCTCATCAGTAAAAACCAGTAAATTGTACTGTTTACACCAATAGGTGAATTATACACTTTCAGTGCTATTTGAGTTTGCTAATACTAGGTTTGTGAAATAAAGAAAAGACAAATAGTTTGATGGCTTGTAAATGTGTACCAGGTGAATAGGCTGGCATTATGGCTTCAACACAGTAAAAGCATCTAAGCACATACTAAATTGAAGTACACAGGTTATCCTGTGAATTTCAGTGACAATGTAGCAGAGTTCAGAGCTAAATACTTGAATATTTACAGATGTTGATTTGAAAGTTGGGAAAATTTAGAAAGAATGGCTCATAAAGTGGAAGAACAGTTATTTTTACTTGTCATGACCAAATTATTCTCAGAGGTGTGGATGTATTTTTTAGGTACAGGCTTCATACTTTCAAACTCAACATTTGAGCATGATAGCTGAATGGACAAGCCTTTCTCTCTTTCATCAGTCACAGGAAAGAAAAAATGAAAAGCAGGCAGTTGATGCACAGTGACAGCAGCCTAAAAAAGGCACATACCTCTTCATCCTATTGTCTGTATGCAGCCTTCGTGAGTGTCAGACAGTCACTCCAAAACAATAGGAAACAAAACTAGGAGGTGAATAAAATAATAAAGAACTGAAAAACTGTCTGTCATTATTCGTTAAGCTTTACTTTGTTCTTCAGTATTTTATAATTGTCAGTGATTCCAGTAACAATTGCTACCTTGACTAATACAGGTCTCATTAGAGTTCTGCTATACATGTTAGAGAATTTGAAGATGTTGAAAATACTTTTCTGCTCCGACTTCAAAACCAGCTAATATGTAGGTTCTTCTTCTAGGGAAATATCTGGATCGTATAAGATATGATATTCTAAAGACTTTTTCTCTCTTGTCTTTGCATTTCAGGTTGGTTAGTGGATATTACTGGTGAATATCAGTACATGTATTTTGTCTGTGGAGCAATTGTGATTGTGGCCAGTATCTGGTTGTTCATTGGCAATGCCATTAACTACAGGCTTTTGGCAAAAGAAAAGAAGTTAGAAGATGAGAAGCAGAAAGCACAGAAGAATGCAGACTCAAGGGAAGCAGAACCATTAACAAACAATGAGAATGAAGATGCTGCCAACAGAGCTGATAAAGCTCTTGAAGATCCTTCAGAAAGAGAAACCAATATTTAATCTGCAATATAGCTCAGAAGGCAACATTTATGACTTCCATTAGAAATATGTCTTCAAGACACAGGCCAGGTTTTGTGTTAATAATGATCAGTCACAATATTGGATGGGAACAGATTTTTGCCCTGTGGCAAGACTTGAAGTTAAATTACTATCTACAGTTTATTTATTTCAGTGATACAAAATTGAGATTACAGAGGTAGTGATTCCATGCAAACAAGTCCATCAGACTATGACTCTGGATAATCAAGAGTCAGGTAAACCAGGCTATAAAGCTTTCCAATGACAAACAGTTTTGTTTCAAAAGTGTATCTAATGCAAAAATATTTCCTATTCTTATTTGGGAAAATACTTTGTGTTCATCTTTAGAATATTGTTAAAGTCTGTTGAAATAAGCTGCCCAAACTTTATTTACCACTAATATTAAAAAGAATATAAACTCAAAGATTTTTTTCAAAAGAAACAGAGTATCTGAGTGAAGCATGGTGAAACCTTTTTCTCTTTTTTTGCCCACTAGATCAAAAAGAGACATTATATCTGTATAAACAATTATAACATGGATGTAAAAGTTAAGGCTAGAAGATGAACAATTGGTGGGTATCATATCTAAAACACAATAAACAGCTGAATTACAGTATATTCCAGAAGTTGTTTCCTCCTGTGATAGCTAACTACTTTGTACTTCAACATATAAATTTGAACATAAAGTACATTCAGATCTCACTAATTCAAATTAAGCTAAAATCTGCCTGTATAAAAGGATTTAAAACCAAGATCTATGTTGCTAACAGGAATGGCAATTAATTTGTTTGATTATGTATTCCTGTAAGGCTGAAGGATCTGGATTGGACTGTGAAGCCTTCTTCATAAAGGGACTAGATTCAGAACCTGCTGATATTAAAAGAATACTTACCCTGGCTTTTGGGGCCTGAATCAGTTACATGGCAATGGCTTCAAAGTAGGTGCTTGGGTTTATTGGCAAGTCATTAGTTGTTTGGTTGTCTACTGAGAGGAGATTTAAGGTCTCTGCAGACAGGCAACTTCATACCAGCCCTCACCTCTCTTTCTCACGTGTTTAGTGAAAAGCTACTTCGTTTTTGTAATGCTGGTTTGAGCAAAAATGCTGCAAGGCATATTGACAGTGCCAGTCTGGAAGCTTTGTATTAACGTATCATTTTTGTGCAGGATATTTGGTCTTGTGTCTACAATTTCACACAGACACTCATTTCAATTAAAATGTACACAATTGTTCCTCTTCCTTTAGGCAAAAGAAAGCATGTCTGTGATTTTATTTTACAAAAATCAGTTAGCATTGCACTTGAAACCTAGGAGTACAAGCTTTTGAAGTTATTAAGTGAATATATTTCTGTTCTGTTTGTAGGTGAGGAAAGGTGCTACTCATTTTGGAGAGATGCATATAAATGCCTCAGAAATTGTGAAAAATAAGGGTCTGATTCATAAAACATTTATGTAGTGTTTATGCAGGATACATATACACTCAATGCCAGGAAAAGAATAACATTAATTTTAGCCCTCTTCTAAATCTCAAAAAGTTGCAAATATATTGGACAGACATCTAGCTGTGTTAAACACACTTTGAAGTGCCAATAACAAAATTTAAAAAAAAAAAAAAAAAAAAAAGTAAAATCTAGCAGATATGGCAGTGCATTAAGAAAGCCATTTTTAAATAGTATTGTTCAGTATTATTATTTTCATTATTCTAAAAATTCTGGTAGTGCTTGCTTCTGTTTGCTGGGTTATCATCTATGAAGTTCGACAGTAATGTTGAACTTTTTCATTACCTCAGCACTGTTTGGGGGAGAAGCATCATGAATCTACTCACAGCATGGTATAGAACTGAATACCTACTTTTTGCCTAATTATATGCAGGAAAGCCAACATCTTCTACAAGTCCTGCAATTTTGCAGGTGCATCAGTAACAAAATATGTGCATTTCAGAGTTTTGGGAGAAAATATGAGTTACGTGCCCAAATTTGAGCAGTGAACTGTGTAAACGAGAATGATTTAGTCCCAGCAAAATTACAGTTCCTCTCCCAGCCCCCATCTTTGAAGAAAAATTAAACACATTTCACCTTCTTCCAAACCATACACCTGCCATCACCCTGTGATGTAAAACATTGCTCTATTTTTGACTATACAAACATACAGGGTGAAATCCAGGATCTGTGAAGGCCCTGTGTTCACAGAGCCAGAAAGTGCTGAGAAGTTTCATAGGCACTAAGCTTTCATACAGTGAGGAATATTAGTTATAAATACTGGATTGTGAAAGATGAACTGAAATTTCAGCTAAAGAGTAGTCATCAGGAACATCACTCTCCTCTTGACAGCAAGTGGCAGAAAGGCAGAGATTATTTGAAAAGAGATGAATGTATGGGCCGAACCAAAATGACTGAGGCAAAATTCTAGGTGCTTATTATCTCTTTGCAAAAAAACAGCACGATTAAGAATACAGGGTAAAAGACAACAAGTGTCAACTTGTTAAAAGTTGTAGTTGAGTAAATAAAGGACTCAGAATAAAGATGATAATAAAAGGCTCTCAGGAAACATGCAGGCACCTTACCTGCTTTATGCAGGATCACAGAATACGATGCAACATGACATAGGAAATAAGGGAAAACCAAGATTCCTCAAGCCGTAGACACACCTGACCACCAGTAACTAAAATTATGTTACTATCTCAGAGGAAATCATAATTTATATAAATACAACCCTCTGCAGGGATACTACTATTTCATCTCTGGACAATTATGTTAAAAAATAATAGGAATGAAAGAACTGCTTTAACACCACTCACCAGTGTGCAATTTTTAATCCCATAAGGTAAAAAGGTGTAGCAGGCAACTGGAGCAATATAAAGTAGGAACTGAGTCAAATGAAATACTTCCTTACACCTCTTCCATTACTTTTCCTCTTAATACTAGCAACAAAATAAAAAACATCAGAATACTCTTGATATTACTGAATATTAAAGAAGTTAAAATCCAGAGATGAATTAAGAAAATTGGAACTATATCTATGCAAAAACTGCCTGGAATTAAAAAACTGTCTTCCGAATAACAGGTCCTAAGGGGGCAATTGCCTTGTAAGTAGCTCTTATTTCTAAAAGTAATAATAATAATAATAATAATAAAAAATTGCCTTTAATCAAATCTATACTGAGCAGCAAAGTAGTAAAATGAGTCTAACTTGCCTTCAAATCCCTGAATATCACTCTTACTTGCATTAAGATATAATTTGTACTGCAAATCATTTCATCATTACATTTCTGCTTTCAGGGTAAGACCTGCGTATATACATACCATCTCTCTCAATTCCCCTGCTTTAATTACCTTGCCTCCAGTCTGGACCACCGCTGGGTCAGAACTAAGAGATGCCTGGGCACTACAATGGAGAAGTGTACTCTCAAACTTCAAGACATACCACATGCATTTGTTATGCACTGTGGAGTCTGTAGTCTCTGTCAGTCAGTGCAAGCAAATCCTTAATTGGTCTTAATCTCCTTTATACTTAGGTATACTTCACCCTTTTAATTTCTCTGCCTTCTTCATATCACTGAGCCTAATAGTCATTTTCCTCTTATTTGACCAATGAAGTAAAATAATGCCAAAATTTTTAAATTAGTAGGAAAGGGAATAACATCAATAATATTTTTCCAATTTAGCATCAAGGTTAAATTTCAAGTAGTTTCAGAGCATACATCTAGATACTTTTATCTCTTTAGAGTTTTTGGAAATTGTACTCTCTAGAAGCTGTAGAGTTTTCTGTATTGCCCTTTCCAACTCCAGAGAAAGGCTTCTCACCAGTAATTCTCAGTACTTTTTCAAGAACATATCAGAAGTTGACCGCTTCCACCTCTCCTCATTGAACTGTGGTTGCAACTGTTGCCAGTTCTGTAATTCCATTGAGTTCACAAAAGCATCTTTTCATATGAAATGCTGTAGCATAAGCAGTCAGGCTACAATCCTTTTATTTCAGGAGTGTGACTTATGAACTGTTTTGACAGAGTTAGGGAAAGTCTTATTTTATCTTCAAATAGATTTTTTTTTTTTTTTAATGATGCTGTCCTTATGAGAGGAAGTTCAACTTTGCTTACTGCTAAAGTGAATGGCAGCAATTTCACTGACATCGTGATTCAAGATTCACATGAATTTTAATGGCCTTTTTGCATATCAGCATCCAGTGTGTTTAAAAAAACATTTGACAGTGTATGCATAATTGTTCTTCCCAGAGAACTCTTGTTCCTCTGAAGGCTTCCTGCTCCCAGCCCCCACCCTATTCTCCATTTTGATGTAACACAAAGAATTTGGTTTTGGAAGGTAATGAATGCTTTCTTGTCATTCTCCTTCCTCAAATGTCTAAGCAACATTGTTCACTTGCTACTTTCAGGTCTGGATAGTTGTGATGATTACTGGGGAGGTATTATTCAGATACATAATAAGCTACAGATACCAGATACAGTTAGATTTGGGGCAGCCATCAGGATTTCACTAAACAAAACCAGTGACCGCTTTTATAGATAAACATGCTGTAACTGATACTGACAATTTTGCCTATAACAAAATTGAATTGAGGCAACTTTTGTTAGTTTCTCTATAGATGACTATTTTTCTACTCACAGAGAGGAATATAAAGGGAATTTTTAAATTATTTTCAGAGATGACATAGCAGTTTTAACAAGGCTCTCTGGATTTTTGGGGGGGTGGGTGCTTTTCTGATATTTGTGCATATATATATATTGAAAATGCTTGCATGTATTATCACCTTTTTGATCACAATTTACATAAGCATTGCTATGTAATTTCAGCATAATTTACATGTTGTTGTTTTGCAGTTCAAATTTTTCTCATCATCTACCTCTCAACTGAAGTTTGGAAACTTGCACAACCCTGGAAGAGTACAGTTAATCAAAAGCATAATGATAAAACCTGTACAGACTATTAGAAAGTTGCCCAAATATTTGAAACTACTTACAGTTCTATTTTTAAGACAGTGTATATTTATGACAAAATTTTTTGCATCAATTAGCATAGCTTTACTAAGTCTAAAGACTTAACCGATACCTGTGTAGTTTTTACATCACTGAACTGATATAAAAACTCAACATGTCATTTCGATATCCAAAGTCTACTGCCCTTTCTGTGAGATGCTGGCCAACAGGTTTTTTTTGTTTTGTTTTGTTTTCTTTCAATTTCCGAGTTAGTGGAATTGAATGGAAACACTACATAATTAATACATCCAAACAGTTTTAAAGAAAATTTTGCATTTTGCATCCTTGGGGAAAAAAAAAAAAAAAGTTTATTTCATTTAGAAATAATACAGAATTTTAGCTTGCTTTCCCTTTTTTGGAGCAGTTGAGGAAGATGGTCAGAAAAAATTGGACTGGGGCTGAGGAATAATGATTGTTCTTCATATGCTCTTTAGAAAACCAGAGATGATTGTTTCTTCAAAGATACTCTTCATTTTAGCCTGCAAACCATTCTTGCCTTCTAGGAACTAGTACAAACTCCACTGAATCCAGCATAAAAAAAAAAAAACTATCAAAGTCAAAGGGCTTTATCAGACATTGGAGGTGATGTGGCTTCAGTGGAGGCTTCAGCCTTATTTTCTCCATATCAAATCTCAGGAGTATCCAGTGTAACACAACAAATGCAGGTTTTGTTGCAATTGGCAAATTTAGCTATGCCTGCATATTATTCCTAATGAATCAGTCCCTAAATTAACGCACAATATGTATTAATAGTCTATGTAAATAAAATAAAATAAAATAAACAAAACAAAACAACATAAACTCTGAATGTAGATTATAAAATATAGAGGATATATTGTAATAAATATCCAAACAAATCTGTTTAACCCCAAAGGAAATTATCCATTTCCTTTCAAGCCTTCTTTCAGCGGTTTATAATCTTTGTTTTTCTTATTTCCACAGAAAATGGTTTATGTCTTTTGGGAATGTATATATAGACATATATATAAGGCAATATATATGCATATGTGTGTATATATGTATTCCCCTATATATAAAACTCTAATTTATATATATTATATATATTTATGTATATATAAAATATATATAAGGTCTTAGAGTAAATTGCATACTGTGCCTGATAAATGAAACATATTTGTAAACAAATAAAAGACTTCAGCAAATGACAGAAAAATTTAGAGGTTTTCTGTAAGAGTATATATTATTATTTTTCAGTTTCTGCTGATTTTATTTATAGTAGAAATTCATTCAGGAAACTGCAGTATTACATAACACTAGTATTTTAACCATGACGCAGTTCAAAGTGGCCTAAGATCACTGAGAATTTTCATTGTTGTTAGACTGTAAAACCTACATTGTGGATGAAGGGGTTGGTTGGGTGTTTTTTGCTGTGGAATTATTAAGTAGATGATCTCTGAATAGGCTGCAATGCAGAGACTGATTTTTCATCTATTGTAGTATGTATGACAAGATCATGCAAAGTATGGATGGACATGATGTTCTTGTAAAAAGTATAGAGAATGAGAATGCTCAAGGCCCTGCAAACAGTATTCCCATTAAATTATTACAGGAAACTCTCCAGAACACTAGGCTCTAAAAACACTGGCAATTTTTCATACCTTTTCCAGGTTCTGTTTTTTTTATTTTATCTGCAAGTAGGCAAGCCCATGAAAAGTCTACATTTGTCTCTGAGTCTTTAAAAGTTCTACCTTAAAGTTATGGAGAGATTTTTTCAGAGTGGTACAAAAAGTACTTACCCTTCCTTCAGTGTGACATAAATGCATTTTCCACATATAGCCTACATGGAAAGCTGACCATATCTGCAGTCTACCAACAGAACTTGGTATTGCTATGCAATAATTAAACATGCAGTAGCCATTGTTCTTGACTAACAATTTTTTTTCTTTCTTTTTATATTTTGCAATACTGTACGGTTTTTACTTGAATATATTGGCTAGAGTTTTTTGGTTTTTTTTTTTTTTTGACAATCATTTATTAGCTAGAGGTGCTATTTATGTTCCAAAGAGATCTGGGTGGATGATAACATTCTCTTTCTAGATGCCAAATCCTTTTTTTGATCTGACAAAATTAATTGTTCGTAATCTATATTAACCCTGTAAAATGCTTATGCACTGCATTACATTGTATTTAAGTGCATTTTTGCTCATTAACTTCTATTCCAGGCTTGTACTAGTGTCTAATATGTCAAGTTTGTCCATATATATTTATGGAAAATTACAATTAAGAACGTGTATGATAAACAATTGAAAAAAAAAGAAAAGAAAAATTAAAATAAAATTTCCATGTAAAGTTTCTGAAAGGATGTAAATGTTGTTTTGTTAGACTCTTTAATGGTAAATTATGTACACTTTTAAAGTGTGCATTTATTCATAGATATATTAGCTGGTTTACTATTTAAATGTGGCTAAGATCTCAAAATCACTTCTTGAATGCAGAAACAGAACTAGAAGGTTTCCCAGGTAGGAAAGATACTACCAGCAGCAGAACATGCTACCAGCCTCTTGCTATTCCTAATTCCACCATAATTATGATTTTATCTCCTACATTACTCAGATACCACCTGGACACCCAGGATTTTTCCCCACTACTCTGATTGGGATGTTTTTCTATATTCCATGTACATGCAATATCATTCATCTACCACTAATACTCATTTTCATACAGAAGAGGACATATGGCTTGAAATAGTGGATGTAGATAACTATTTTGTCTCATTTTTCTAAGAGTTCCCAAATCCTATGCATTTGTCAACTGACTTAAGGTTATGATTGTTTGCCCCAGTTAAATTGGTGTTATTGAGAGAATGTAATTGGATATTTTAAATTAGAGATATTAAGGATAATATTAATATCAGAGATATTAACATCCTTTGCATGCTATCTACACACCTTTTACATAGAAGCACAATAAGCTACTAGGAAACAAAGATGTAAAACATGAACTATTGAATAAGAAAGAAATAACTTTGTCTATGGAATCAAATTGTCTTTATTTTTATATGTCTAATAGCTGTAAAATCTATTTTCAAAGGAAGTTATCTATAACCTTCTTGATAAGGAAGTGTTGATACAGCTACCAGAGTGTATTTAGATTTTGTTTAGATTCTAGCCCCTTGTAATATTTGCATATTTGAGTATTTTTAATGTTAACAAATAATCCATTTTCAGGCACTGACCAAGCAAAAAATTGTCCCTTTGGCACAGGGAACCAGGTGTGATATTTTACCCTGCTCAAAGACATTGTTGATATCACTTGCATGCCTAAAGCTGTGTTACTTCACTCAATCTAGTTGCATGACTGAAATACATTGCTGAGTAATAGACACTTAATTCAGGAAAATCATTCCTGAGGTTTCTCATTTTCATAGTTCAGTGTCAAGACAGATGGAGACCTCAATCTGTAGTTTGTCTCTAAGGTCAGATGTTATTATGTTTTCCCACAAATGGTATTTTCTTCTAGCAATGAGCCCTTTTAAGTCTATTGGTTATCCTCAATTGAGTTAATAGGTTACATTTACCACTGCAGCTCAGCAGTAATCACTTCCACAGTTTTATTCCTCTGATCAAGACTTAAAAGCATTGCCATTCAATAAGGTTTCTAATCCATATTATGCATACATTAATACATATAATTATATCCCTAATAGTATGTTTGTGAACATTTATTTTTCCTCAGGCCTCCTCTTCATACACCCTGGCACATAGTGCTTCAGTTCAGCTTCTTCAGTTGAGTTGTCATCATAAGACAATCCTCTAGAGATCAGAGATACTAAGTTTATTGCTTAGATATAAAATCAGAATCACAAGCCAAATAAAAATAAATTGTATATATAGTACATTAACAAGACACACATAATTGGTGATTGACATTCACTGGTTGAATAAGTAGTTCAACTTTCATTAAGTGACTTAGAATGTCCAGCACCTGGTGGCGCCAAACTGTAAGTATATTCCATGAGGTAACAAATATTTGGTTACAATATATCCACCCCTTTGAACAACTGTTTTTCTCATAGCAACTTCTTACAGGATCCTACTGTATAATGTAATAATGTTGGGATCTCAAAACTGACATGTAAATACATGATTCTGTTGTTTCTTTGACTCTCATGAGACCTCATTTTTGTAATCTTTTCTGTACAAAGGAACTCTTGATCTTGATCTAACAGTTCCACTGGTTTTCTCACATGACATAAAAAAAGATGATTTGCCTGGAGAAAATCCAGAAACACTCAGGCAGAATGATATTTTAAGGACACTTAACCCACTTTTTGTCTGTTAGTACAGATGGATCTTAAAACATCTGGATCTGCACCTTTTTCAATTCAGTTAAAAATTTTAGAATTGCAGATTCCCAGTATAATTTGCAAATTACCTTAAATCAATATTTCACATTACTATATCTGAAAGAAAAGTAAATTATAAAACCTAATATTCATCTTAAATTATTTTATTTTTAGCTTTTTGTCAAAATTTAGAGTAAATGATCCTAGAAGGTAATTCAGTTACTTACCCTCTTTCATGTGCACTTCTCCTAACTTTTTCACTTGTACTGACCATGCTGAAAAAATATCCACAAGTAAAGTAATATATTTTAGCTGCTAGACATGGATGTTCTTTTAAAAAAATTCACCTGAACAGCAAGCTAAAAAAAAAAAAGGGGGAAAAAAATAGAAGTTATTTTCCAACCATTTGGAAAAGCAAAATCTCTTGGATCTCATGTGACAAAAACACGTCCAAGAAATTTCTTGGGAACGGCCGAGTCTCCATAAAGAAAGACCTGAAGCAAATGAATGGAGAAGATACCATTCAACAGGTGTGGATATTGTCCTAAAATCTTGCACGTATTTTTTCAATTAAAGATAGAATTAGATACGAATGTCTGCAAATTGTCAATTTTGAATGGGTTTAAGCAATAGTATCTATGAAGGGTTTCTTTCATTTTGTTACACAAGCAGTGAATTTTCTTTCTTTAGATATGTCTATTTTTTTCTGAATTTAATTATATTTTTCCCTCCTGGAAATTCTGTAACTATTGTTTATCAAGCAATATATATTTTATGTATAAAACAGATTTATAAAAGCAGATGTATAAAAGCAGATTTACTGTGATAGCAGGGGAGTTTTGGTGCCTTCTATACCAACTATATACAGTCCTAGTAAAGTCTTATGGCTGTTCCCCTTCCTACTTCCCATTCATATAATTTTTCATAAGCTGAAAATCTGCACAGTCTGATTGAACCCTTTAATGTGTATGAAATTAGAATGGGAAATTTACTAATGCCACTTCCCCTGTTTCTTAATTTAAGACAGGCAGAAGTTCATCAGTACTATCTATTTTCGTTTTATTGTCCTCATCAAAGTTCATTGAGACCTACAAAAACCAAAAGCAATTAATAAAACTCTGTATATGGTATTTGAATTCTGAACAGAAAACCCATGTGAAATATTTAGGAAAGTGTATTATTCAGACATCTTAAAACTCCCAAAAGTTTCTGTTAAAATATGTTTAAATTGAATACTAATAGAAAAGATTTGTCCTACATAATCTAGTTCAGATATCCATAACTTGGATGTGGTTGTATTTTCCACAAAATAAATATTTTCAGAAATGATCCTGTAGAACACGAAAGCTGTAGGTAGGTACCAAAAGAAGTGGCAAACTTTTCTGAAATATCACACGTGTATCAGTTTTCAGTGACAAAGAGTTTATTTGGGAGGAACAGTGATTCATTTTGCCAACCATCATAATATACTTTGATTAATAACTGCAATTGCAGTTTGGCCTGAATTATAGATGAGTAGCATTTAGGCACTACAATTATTCAGTTCAATCACTGAACTGAATAATTGGGGAAAAATGGTTTAGTTTGAGGTGAAGGGTTTTTTTCACATCACAGAAAAAGTGTTTCTTTGCCTTAATTACAAAACAAAGCTTTTTGATTCCATTTTGGACCTTCTGCAGGGAAATAAAGGGAGAGTTGGATACCTTTTATGAAAAAACAAGATTTGGCAACGATCACATTATTCATCAGACATACAGAAAGACAGATTCAGTTATTTCTTCTGTTTGACATGAATGAACCCATGATTCCCTCTTCTAAAGCTGCTGGGGATTCAGGAGTGATTTGCTGTCCTGCTGGTAAGTTTTACTGCCA